CATACGTAATTCAATATCTAAAAAAAAAATGTCAGCAAATGTTATTACATTCTTTTAATGTTATTATTATTTTAGTTTGAGATTAATTTATATAATATATATATATAAAATAATCGATTTGGTATTTAACCGTTATTTTAGTGTAAAAAAAATATAGTCGTATATGTTGACTTGGAAAAGTAGTATTTCGTTGAAGAAAGAAGATATTTAAAATAATCCGAGGCGCAGGTTTACATTTTTGTAAGTTTCGATAGTAGCCCTTTCAAGAATTGTTCGTTAGTTACTTTCTCTTGTAATAAGTGTAGCATCTTCTAAATCGAAGTTTTGGTTGAATTTATTTCTATGTATGACTAATGCATTTGATAAATAGCTGTGTATAATATATGTACATCCAATAATTCGTTAAAAACGGAGTATAGTATTATGATAAAAGGATCAAAACTTGATAAAAACAAAGAGTTATCGTCAAAAAGTTTATGCTATTATTAACAAACACCAAAGGATCTTTTTATTAAATTTTTTAATCCTTTTCGAAAATTTGGTTAAAAATCTTTTTTCTTGCCTCAGATTAGTTTGGGAAATTTAGCGTCTTTTTTTTTATGGTAAAAACACATTGTTTTGGAAATTCTTGCAAATATCAAATTGTTCGATTTTAATAAACTTTTTCAGGACAAATAAATTATTTTTTAAATAATTTTGTTTAAAAAATCTTTGTAAAAAACGTTTTTTTTTACATGCGTTACCATTACTTTATTAATTTTCCGAAATTTTGAGAAGTTAAAATTTCAGGATCTTAGTATTTAAAGCAGGACTTCTTGGAGAATTTAAATCACCAATGATCAAGCAGAAACATTATTTACCGAAAAACAATTCTGAGTATTAAAAGAAAAAAAAGCAATAAAACTGGAATTATTTAATTAGAAAAGCCTTTATAAATAAGATATATTAAGTACACAATTGTCTTTAAAAAAAAATCGATGAATAATGAATTTTACAAAAATTGTTTTATTTTTTTTTAAATCTTGATAAGGAAAAATTAGTAAGTTTTAAATCTTTTAAAATTCTGTTTTAATTTCAGCGGTTTTGATAATATTAAGTGAAAACTATATTTACTTACATATCTATAATTCTGCCATTTGTCCTTGCTTTGAATATTACAGCCACATATGGAACTGTTATATATTTAGAGATTTTTTATAAAATTTAAAGAAGAATCTGCAATGTTATCGCTCCTGACCTGACATCTCGACTTCAGTCCTTTTTCCCACCGCCGTAATGTAGCTCCCCTTTGCGTTGTTTATAAATACTTCCATGGTAATTGTTCTGATGAACTTTCCTCTATGGTACATAGAATTTATGAATTTAAGCGCAGTACTAGAATGGCAGCAAGGTCTCATCATTTTACAGTTGAGCTGTAAAACTACTGTTATATAGAAATAAAGTGTCGTTGCCGACACTGGAGTTTGAACACAGATCACTAGTGAGCAAACACGGCTGATTCCATTTCTAATTAGTAGACCACATGATCGTAAATGAAATGTATATATGGGAATTAACGTGGCGCCTAATTGATCACCATTTCTATTCTATCCTCTAATATTAGACGGATCGCTATTTCTACACTATCCTCTATTACTATACGGATCGCTTTTCTCTATACTATTTCTCTATACTTATCATTATATAGATTACTATTCAGTGGTTACTATTCGAGCGAGTATTATGGCGCAAGTACTGTTAGTGCGAGTGTTATTCGAAGACGTCTGACACCAGTATTGTTCAACGGTGTTACTATAGTTGTATCTTCGATTACAAAGTCTCTACTACAACGAGTATTACGGAAGTGACAACGAGTATTCGTTGACATCACGAAAGTGACAAAGAGTATTCGTTGACATCATGAAAGTGACAAAGAGTGTTCGTTGACATCATGATAGTGACAAAGAGTGTTCTTTGACATCATGGAAGTGACAACGAGTATTTGTTGACATCATGAAAGTGACAACGAGTATTTGTTGACACCATGAAAGTGACAACGAGTGTTCGTTGACATCACGAAAGTGACAACGAGTGTTCGTTGACATCATGAAAGTGATAACGAGTGGTCGTTGACATCACGAAAGTGACAACGAGTGTTCGCTGACATCATGGAAGTGACAACGAGTATTCGTTGATATCATGAAAGTGACAACGAGTCTTCGTTGACATCATGAAAGTGATAACGAGTGGTCGTTGACATCACGAAAGTGACAACGAGTGTTCGCTGACATCATGGAAGTGACAACGAGTATTTGTTGACATCATGAAAGTAACAACGAGTGTTCGTTGACATCATGAAATTGATAACGAGTGTTCGTTGACATCATGAAAGTGACAACGAGTGTTCGTTGACATCACGAAAGTGACAACGGGTGTTCGTTGACATCACGAATGTAACAACGAGTATTCGTTGACATCACGAAATTGACAACGAGTGTTCGTTGACATCATGAAAGTGACAATGAATGTTCGTTGACATCAGAAAAACTATGAACAAAATTAACTACGGAATGTAGCTCACCAGAATATTATCCATAGAAATAGTGACATTTTAGCGATAAGCTTTCCATGTTGTGTCTGTCAAGAGGGGGATTCTGGGCGGGGGATAACTCATCACCAACAAGGCCGCATAACAGGTTAATGGCCAATAAGTAATTTCAAATAATATTGAATTGAATATATTTTATTTTTTGAATAAATCTGATGAAGAAAAACAGGAATTATTTGAGCCACTCTAATAATTTATTTTAAATAGTTGAACGGTGGAGTTTTCTATTTTTAAATTTAAATTTTTTTAAGCATCCATTTATCTATTGTGAACCAAGAAAAGAATTTATTGACTTTATTTCATTTACTAATTGTATATCTGGCTTACAGCCACGCCACGTTGAAAGACCGGCTTACGTCCTGGGTAAGACGATAAACTACACCCGACAGCAAAACCTTTGATCAGAAGGTCTTGAGCAGGGTGGAACCACCTCTTAATTGCTGGTGTTCCCAGGTCCACCTTGACCCCGGTGGGTAGCACTGCTATTAGGGTCCCAGCTATGGGCAAATAGTTAACCCCCACAAAAGGGGTCAAAACAATAGGAATGTATAAAAAAGTTTTAATTTAACCCATTGAGGTTGATATGCCGTAAACCTAACCAAACCAGACCAAACTAAACCGATTTCCGTGCGATCACTGAAGTTAAGCAACGTCGAGCCTGGTGAGCACTTTGAAATGCCAGATCCTGTAAGCTTGGATCTACGGGTCATTTTTAATCGGAGAGTCAATTCTAGATGGGTTCGTTATATTTCTTTACCCGCAAAGACTCTTGAGAAAGATATGAATCTACCACTTCTCCCTCCAGGTATGGGTTAATTAGTAAGACTTGTATCAATAAACTATTATTATCTAAAAAAAAAAAAAAAAAAAAACAATTTTTACAATCTAGAAATATTTTCTGGCTTTAAATAACCTACAAAGGGTTGATAAGCAGTAGAAAATGAATCACTCAGTAATTGTATATTTGTTTGAAGAAACAAATTTTCAGAAGACGTGACATAATTGACATAACTTCAAACATTTAAATACAATGTCAATCATTATTCACTGTCTTCCTGATTATGCTTCTATAGTTCTCGCTTGTTAGTAATCTTTCTGTTTTCTAATTCTTCCGCACCCAGTAGCCCTCTTGTGTCTTAGTGGCTTTGCTACCTTGATTAGGGTGAATTTGATTTTTAAAAAATACAAAAAGATTTGCTTTTTCTTTTCATTGTTGCTTCTTCTTCTTCTTCTTCTTCTTCTTCTTCTTCTTCTTCTTCTATGTGACGTGGCCCATCAGCACATAGCCGATCATGGCCCTCCACAATTTCCTGTCCTTCGTAGCGTTTCATAAATTTGGTCTTTGTGTCATTTTTACTAAAACCTGTACCACCATTCATTTACTCAACCTAGTTCTTCATCTTTTATGTGCCGTGTTCTTTCAGGACTTTGACGATTATAGCCCTCCACAATTTCCTGTCCTTTGTAGCGCTTCATAAATTTTGTCTTTTTGTTATCTCTCAAAGTGCTCACCCATCAAGGTGCTGACCAAGCTCGACGTTGCTCCGCCGTTCATTTCCTCGGCTTAGTTCTTCGTATTTTATGTGCCGTGTTCCTTCTGGGTGTTGACGATCGTGGCTCTCCACAATTTCCTGTCCTTTGTAGCGCTTCATAAATGTCTTTTTGTTATCTCCTCTAAACCCTGTTCCGCTAATCATTTACTCAGCCTAGTTCTTCAACTTTTATGTGCCGTGTCCCTACAGGACGTTGACGATCATAGTTTTCCACAATTTCCTGTCCTTTGTAAATCTTAATAAATTTTGTCATTTGATTGTTGCTTAGCTTGACATAAAGCAGAAATATTGTCTGTTTTTTTGTAAGGGGAGTAGGGTGGAGTAATTAAAAAAAATATAATCCGAAGTTCCTGCTTCACCGCTCTTCGACTACTTACCTATTGGCCAATCTACGTTACCTGTCTATTTAGAAACTAAAAAATAAAATAAAAAAACAAAACTAAGAAACGAAAATAAATGATTAAAAGTATAATTGAAATGTTTAAAAAAAATGAAGATAAAAAGATGTTACCGGCGCCAGATAAATAAATTTTAAAAAGCAGAAAGAAAGAATAATAGAGGAAAGACATTTTTTCGCGGATAACCATTTTCGAAGAGTCTACTTTATTTAGTTAACGGTCTTTGCTTATCTTGTCTATTTGGTTGATGTCTTAATTTAAACACCAAGATTTGGTGCTTTTACCTCAAAGTAGTTTTTTCTTTTCGTGTTTTCTTGATTTCTTTTCTTGTTTCTTGCTTTTTCTACGTCCTTTCTTTCTCTTTCTTTCTTACCGTCTGTTTCTTCCGTATGTTCTCTTTCTTTCTTACCTTCTCTTTCTTTGTTTCTTGCGTTTTTTTCCTTTTTTTCTCTCTCTTTCTTCATGTTCTCTTTCTTATGTTTTCTATCTATCTTTCTTAGGTTATCGGTATTTCTTTCTTTCTTACATTCTCTTTCTTACATTCTTTTTCTTTTTCTTTCTTTCTCTTTTTCTCTCTTATTTTCTCTTTCTTTTTTTTCTTATGGTATCTTTCTTTCTTTCTTACGTTCTCATTCTTTCTTATGTAATTTTTTTTCTTTCTTTCTTAAGTTATTTGCTTTTGTTCTTAGTTTCTTTCTTACGTTTTCATTCTTTCTTTCTTATGCTCTCTCTCTTTCTTTCTTTCTTTCTTATTTTCTTATGTTCTCTTCAATATTTCCTACGTTATCTGCTTTTCTTTCTTTCTTTCTAACGGTCGCTATATTTCCGACATTCTTCTTTGTCCTCTCTTACGTTTTCTTTCTTTCTTTCTTTCTTTCTTTCTTTCTTTCTTTCTTTCTTTCTTTCTTAAGTAATTTCTTTATTTTCTTTCTTGCGTTGTTTTTCTTTCTTTCTTTCTTTCTTTCTTTCTTTCTTTCTTTCTTTCTTTCTTTCTTTCTTATGTTCTCTTTCTTTCTTATGTCCTCTTTTTTCCTGACATTCTCTTTCATTATTTCTTTATTTCTTACGTTCTCTTTCTTTCTCACGTTCTATTCTTTCTTAACTTCCTTTCTTTCTTTTTTTCTTGCTTTCTTTCTTGCGGTATCTGTCTTTTTTACGTTCTCTTTCTTTCTTACGTTCTTTATCTTTTCTCATTCTTTCTTAGGTTCTCTTTCTTTCTATATTTCTTTCTTTCTTTCTTTCTTTCTTTTTCTTTCTTATGTTTCTCTTTCTTTCCTACGTCCTCTTTCTTCCTTACGTTCTCTTTCTTTATTTGTTTAATTGTTACGTTCTCTTTCTTTCTTACATTCTATTCTTTCTTTCTTTCTTTCTTTCTTTCTTCTTTCTTTCTTTCTTTCTTTCTTTCTTGCGGTATCTGTCTTTTTTACGTTCTCTTTCTTTCTTACGTTCTTTATCTTTTCTCATTCTTTCTTAGGTTCTCTTCCTTCCTTCCTTTCTTTCTTTCTTTCTTTCTTTCTTTCTTTCTTTCTTATGTTCTCTTTCTTTCCTATGTCCTCTTTCTTCCTTACGTTCTCTTTCTTTATTTGTTTAATTGTTACGTTCTCTTTCTTTCTTACATTCTATACTTTCTTTCTTTCTTTCTTTCTTTCTTCTTTCTTTCTTTCTTTCTTTCTTTCTTTCTTTCTTGCGGTATCTGTCTTTTTTACGTTCTCTTTCTTTCTTACGTTCTTTATCTTTTCTCATTCTTTCTTAGGTTCTCTTTCTTTCTTTCTTTATTTCTTTCTTTCTTTCTTTCTTTCTTTCTTATGTTCTCTTTCTTTCCTACGTCCTCTTTCTTCCTTACGTTCTCTTTCTTTATTTGTTTAATTGTTACGTTCTCTTTCTTTCTTGCATTCTATTCTTTCTTTCTTTCTTTCTTTCTTTCTTTCTTTCTTTCTTCTTTCTTTCTTTCTTTCTTGCGGTATCTGTCTTTTTTACGTTCTCTTTCTTTCTTACGTTCTTTATCTGTTCTCATTCTTTCTTAGGTTCTCTTCCTTTCTTTCTTTCTTTCTTTCTTTCTTATGTTCTCTTTCTTTCCTACGTCCTCTTTCTTCCTTACGTTCTCTTTCTTTATTTGTTTAATTGTTACGTTCTCTTTCTTTCTTACATTCTATACTTTCTTTCTTTCTTTCTTTCTTCTTTCTTTCTTTCTTTCTTTCTTTCTTTCTTTCTTTCTTGCGGTATCTGTCTTTTTTACGTTCTCTTTCTTTCTTACGTTCTTTATCTTTTCTCATTCTTTCTTAGGTTCTCTTTCTTTCTTTCTTTCTTTCTTTCTTTCTTTCTTTCTTTCTTATGTTCTCTTTCTTTCCTACGTCCTCTTTCTTCCTTACGTTCTCTTTCTTTATTTGTTTAATTGTTACGTTCTCTTTCTTTCTTACATTCTATTCTTTCTTTCTTTCTTCTTTCTTTCTTTCTTTCTTTCTTTCTTGCGGTATCTGTCTTTTTTACGTTCTCTTTCTTTCTTACGTTCTTTATCTTTTCTCATTCTTTCTTAGGTTCTCTTTCTTTCTTTCTTTCTTTCTTTCTTATGTTCTCTTTCTTTCCTATGTCCTCTTTCTTTCCTATGTCCTCTTTCTTCCTTACGTTCTCTTTCTTTATTTGTTTAATTGTTACGTTCTCTTTCTTTCTTACATTCTATTCTTTCTTTCTTTCTTTCTTTCTTTCTTCTTTCTTTCTTTCTTTCTTTCTTTCTTTCTTTCTTTCTTTCTTGCGGTATCTGTCTTTTACGTTCTCTTTCTTTCTTACGTTCTTTATCTTTTCTCCATTCTTTCTTAGGTTCTCTTTCTTTCTTTCTTTCTTTCTTATGTTCTCTTTTCTTTCCTATGTCCTCTTTCTTTCCTTGTCCTCTTTCTTTTTTTATTTCTCTTTCTTTATTTGTTTAATTGTTACGTTCTCTTTCTTTCTTACATTCTATTCTTTCTTCCTTTCTTCTTTCTTTCTTCTTTCTTTCTTTCTTTCTTTCTTGCGGTATCTGTCTTTTTTATGTTCTCTTTCCTTCTTACGTTCTTTATCTTTTCTCTTTCTTTCTTACGTTTTTCTTTCTTTCTTATGTTTTTATTTCATTTTCTTTCTTTCTTTATGTTCTCTTTCTTTTTTACGTGCACTTTCTTTCTTTCTTTCTTTTTATCGTTCTTTCTTTTGTACATTCTCTTTCTTTCATTCTTGCGTTCTCTCTCTAATGTTCTCTTTCTTTAATTATTTCTTTCTTACATTCTCTTCTTTCTTTCTTTCTTTCTTTCTTTCTTTCTTTCTTGCGGTATCTGTCTTTTTTATGTTCTCTTTCCTTCTTACGTTCTTTATCTTTTCTCATTCTTTCTTAGGTTCTCTTCCTTTCTTTCTTTCTTTCTTTCTTTCTTTCTTTCTTTCTTATGTTCTCTTTCTTTCCTACGTCCTCTTTCTTTCCTTTTTATTCTCTTTCTTTATTTGTTTTAATTGTTACGTTCTTTTCTTTCTTACATTCTATTCTTTCTTTCTTTCTTTCTTCTTTCTTTCTTTCTTTCTTTCTTTCTTGCGGTATCTGTCTTTTTTACGTTCTCTTTCTTTCTTACGTTCTTTATCTTTTCTCATTCTTTCTTAGGTTCTCTTTCTTTCTTTCTTTCTTTCTTTCTTTCTTTCTTTCTTTCTTATGTTTCTCTTTCTATGTCCTCTTTCTTTCCTATGTCCTCTTTCTTCCTTACGTTCTCTTTCTTTATTTGTTTAATTGTTACGTTCTCTTTCTTTCTTACATTCTATTCTTTCTTTCTTTCTTTCTTTCTTTCTTCTTTCTTTCTTTCTTTCTTTCTTTCTTGCGGTATCTGTCTTTTTTACGTTCTCTTTCTTTCTTACGTTCTTTATCTTTTCTCATTCTTTCTTAGGTTCTCTTTCTTTCTTTCTTTCTTTCTTTCTTTCTTTCTTTCTTTCTTTCTTTCTTATGTTCTCTTTCTTTCCTATGTCCTCTTTCTTTCCTATGTCCTCTTTCTTTCTTACGTTCTCTTTCTTTATTTGTTTAATTGTTACGTTCTCTTTCTTTCTTACATTCTATTCTTTCTTCCTTTCTTCTTTCTTTCTTCTTTCTTTCTTTCTTTCTTTCTTGCGGTATCTGTCTTTTTTATGTTCTCTTTCCTTCTTACGTTCTTTATCTTTTCTCATTCTTTCTTACGTTTTTCTTTCTTTCTTATGTTTTTATTTCATTTTCTTTCTTTCTTTATGTTCTCTTTCTTTTTTACGTGCACTTTCTTTCTTTCTTTCTTTTTATCGTTCTTTCTTTTGTACATTCTCTTTCTTTCATTCTTGCGTTCTCTCTCTAATGTTCTCTTTCTTTAATTATTTCTTTCTTACATTCTCTTCTTTCTTTCTTTCTTTCTTTCTTTCTTTCTTTCTTTCTTGCAGTATCTGTCTTTTTATGTTTCTCTTTCCTTCTTACGTTCTTTATCTTTTTCTCTTTCTTTCTTACGTTTTTTTTTCTTTCTTATGTTTTTATTTCATTTTCTTTCTTTCTTTATATTTCTCTTTCTTTTTTTACGTGCACTTTCTTTTCTTTCTTTCTTTTTTATCGTTCTTTCTTTTGTACATCTCTTTCTTTCATTCTTGCGTTTCTCTCTCTAATGTTTCTCTTTCTTTAATTATTTCTTTCTTACATTCTCTTCTTTCTTTCTTTCTTTCTTTCTTTCTTTCTTGCGGTATCTGTCTTTTTTATGTTCTCTTTCCTTCTTACGTTCTTTATCTTTTCTCTTTCTTTCTTACGTTTTTCTTTCTTTCTTATGTTTTTTTATTTCATTTCTTTCTTTCTTTATGTTTCTCTTTTCTTTTTTACGTGCTTTCTTTTCTTTCTTTTTTTTTATCGTTCTTTCTTTTAAATTCTCTTTTCTTTCATTCTTTATGTTCTCTCTCTAATGTTCTCTTTCTTTAATTATTTCTTTCTTATATTCTCTTCTTTCTTTTCTTTTCTTTTTTCTTTCTTTCTTTTTTGCGGTATCTGTCTTTTTTGTTCTCTTTCCTTCTTACGTTCTTTTTATCTTTTCTCTTTCTTTCTTACGTTTTTTTTCTTTTCTTATGTTTTTATTTCATTTTCTTTCTTTCTTTATGTTCTCTTTCTTTTTTTTTACGTGCACTTTTCTTTCTTTCTTTCTTTTTATCGTTCTTTCTTTCGTACATTCTCTTTCTTTCATTCTTGCGTTCTTTCTCTAATGTTCTCTTTTCTTTAATTATTTCTTTCTTACATTCTCTTCTTTCTTTCTTTTCTTTCTTTTTTTCTTTGTTGTATCTGTCTTTTTTTCGTTCTTTTCTTTCTTACGTTCTTTATCTTTTCTCATTCTTTTTTAGGGTTCTCTTCCTTTTTCTTTCTTTCTTTCTTTTCTTTCTTTCTCTTCTATCTTATATTCTCTTTTATTTCCTATGTCCTCTTTCTTCCTTACATTCTCATTTTTTACTTCTTTATTTCTTACGTTCTCTTTCTTTCTTGCATTCTCTTCTTTCTTTCTTTCTTTCTTTCTTTCTTTCTTTCTTTCTTTCTTTCTTGTGGTATCTGTCTTTTTACGTTCTCTTTCTTTCTTACGTTCTCATTCTTTCTTTCTTTCTTTCTTTCTTTCTTTCTTTCTTATGTTTCTATTTCTTTTTCTTTATTTATTTATGTTCTCTTTCTTTTTATGTGCACTTTCTTTCTTTCTTTCTATCATTCTTTCTTTCGTACTTTCTCTTTCTTTCATTCTTGCGTTCTCTTTCTTATGTTCTCTTTCTTTATTTATTTCTTTCTTACATTCTCTTCTTTCTTTTTTTCTTTCTTTCTTTCTTTCTTGTTGTATCTGTCTTTTTTTTACATTCTCTTTCTTTCTTACGTTCTTTATCTTTTCTCTTTCTTTCTTAGGTTCTCTTTCTTTCTTTCTTTCTTTCTTTCTTTCTTTCTTTCTTTCTTTCTTTCTTATGTTCTCTTTCTTTCCTATGTCCTCTTTCTTCCTTACATTCTCTTTTTTTATTTCTTTATTTCTTACGTTCTCTTTCTTTCTTGCATTCTCTTCTTTCTTTCTTTCTTTCTTTCTTTCTTTCTTTCTTTCTTGTGGTATCTGTCTATTTACGTTCTCTTTCTTTCTTACGTTCTCATTCTTTCTTTCTTTCTTTCTTTCTTATGTTTCTATTTCTTTTTCTTTATTTATTTATGTTCTCTTTCTTTTTTATTTGCATGTTCTTTCTTTCTTTCTATCATTCTTTCTTTTCGTACTTTCTCTTTCTTTCATTCTTGCGTTCTCTTTCTTATGTTCTCTTTCTTTATTTATTTCTTTCTTACATTCTCTTCTTTTCTTTCTTTTTTTTCTTTCTTTCTTTCTTTCTTTCTTTCTTTTTTTCTTTTTTCTTTCTTTCTTTTTCTTTTATCTTTTTTTTTTCTTTCTTAGGTTTCTCTTTCTTTCTTTCTTTCTTTCTTTCTTATGTTCTCTTTCTTTCCTATGTCCTCTTTCTTCCTTACTTTTCTTTTTTTTTTTCTTTCTTTATTTCTTACGTTCTCTTTCTTTCTTGCATTCTCTTCTTTCTTTCTTTCTTTCTTTCTTTCTTTCTTTCTTTCTTTCTTGTGGTATCTGTCTTTTTACGTTCTCTTTCTTTCTTACGTTCTCATTCTTTCTTTCTTTCTTTCTTTCTTATGTTTCTATTTCTTTTTCTTTATTTATTTATGTTCTCTTTCTTTTTATGTGCACTTTCTTTCTTTCTTTCTATCATTCTTTCTTTCGTACTTTCTCTTTCTTTCATTCTTGCGTTCTCTTTCTTATGTTCTCTTTCTTTATTTATTTCTTTCTTACATTCTCTTCTTTCTTTCTTTCTTTCTTTCTTTCTTTCTTTCTTGTTGTATCTGTCTTTTTTTTACATTCTCTTTCTTTCTTACGTTCTTTATCTTTTCTCTTTCTTTCTTAGGTTCTCTTTCTTTCTTTCTTTCTTTCTTTCTTTCTTTCTTATGTTCTCTTTCTTTCCTATGTCCTCTTTCTTCCTTACATTCTCTTTTTTTATTTCTTTATTTCTTACGTTCTCTTTCTTTCTTGCATTCACTTCTTTCTTTCTTTCTTTCTTTCTTTCTTGTGGTATCTGTCTTTTTACGTTCTCTTTCTTTCTTACGTTCTTTATCTTTTCTCTTTCTTTCTTACGTTCTCTTTCTTTCTTTCTTTCTTTCTTTCTTTCTTTCTTTCTTATGTTTTTATTTCTTTTTCTTTCTTTATGTTCTCTTTCTTTTTTATGTGCACTTTCTTTCTTTCTATCGTTCTTTCTTTCGTACGTTCTCTTTTTTTCTTTCTTTCTTTCTTTCTTTTATTCTTGCGTTCTTCCTTATGTTATCTTTCTTTCTTTCCTTCTTGCCTCCCCTTTCATTGTTAAGTTCTATTTCTTTCTTTCCTTCTTAGGTTCTCGTTCGTTCATTCATTCGTTCATCCTTTACCCTTTCGCCATCACTTTCTTTCTTGCTTTCCAGTTTTCAAATACATTTTTATCGCTTTTAACTTTATTCTTTGTTTCTTTTCTTTTTCTTTCCTCTTTTCCCTCTTCTTTTCTTATTTATTTTTCTTCTTTTCTTTCTTCTTTTCTTGCATCTCTTCTGAACCTTGCACACTTTTTTTTCTCTTTGAAAACAAAACCACCACGTTCTTCACATCTCCAAAACTGTCTTTTCCCGCTCACTCACCCGCTTCAAATTAACCGCACCCGCTTTACATAATCTAAGAATTTTAGACTTCATTTAACGCGGGTCAGTGCGACCTTGGCACCAAGAGAGAAAACAAGATATTTTTTTTTATATTTCCTTTAAAGAAAACCTAAGGGTGAATAATTGGATAAAAAGAAAGGAAAATAGATTTTCATGCGGGGTATTTCCCTGTGATGAGAAAAGAGAATTTTTTACTTTACGTAGGTAGGTATGTATGTAGGTAGGTAAGTAGGTATGTAGGTAGATAGGGATTAAGGTAGATAAATCAATCACCGAATATTACTCCATCCTGGGTATGACGATTAACTACATCCGCGTCCTAGACGATAATCTATATCCAACAGCAAGGCTTCTGATCAGGAGGGGTTTAGGAGAGCGGAAACAACTCTTAATTGCTGGTTTTATCAGGTTCACCCTGACCCGTGGTGGTAGTATCTGTTAGGGTCCCAGATATGCGCAAAGAGTTAACCCACCATTCTGGTCTCAAAACGTATAAAATAGGTTCTATTACCAGCAATTATGTTTTGTAAAAAAATATTACCAGCAATGAATTTTTGAAGAAAAAGTTATTGTCAGCAATACATTACTACCAGCAATAGTTTTCTTATTTTTTTGAAAAAATATTTTTTAGCACCAATATATTTCTGAAAAAAATTGCCAGCAATACATGTTTGAAAAAAATTAAATATTACCAGAAATACATTTTTGGAAAAAATATTACCAACAATAAAAATGTAGTCGGCATTAAATAACCCATTGAGGTTGATATGCCGTAAAACAAAATAAACCAAACCAATCTAAACCAAAGAATACATATTCTATTCATACGAATCTATCCTAAAAATGTTGTCGGCATTAAATAACCCATTGAGGTTGATATGCCGTAAAACAAAATAAACCAAACCAATCTAAACCAAAGAATACATATTCTATTCATACAAATCTATCCTAAAAATGTTGTCGGCATTAAATAACCCATTGAGGTTGATATGCCTTAAAGCAAAATAAACCAAACCAATCTAAACCAAAGAATACATATTCTAATCATACGAATCTATCCTAAAAATCTTGTCGGCATTAAATAACCCATTGAGGATGATATGCCGTAAAACAAAATAAACCAAACCAATCTAAACCAAAGAATACATATTCTATTCATACGAATCTATCCTAAAAATCTTGTCGGCATTAAATAACCCATTAAGGTTGATATAACGTAAGCCAAAACAAACCAAACCGAATATTGCTGCTAAATCTCGTCTGCTGCTCCTGTTATATATCTTTAGATTCTTTATAAAACCAAAACAAGAGTCTCTTATGTTTTTAGTTCCGATCTGGCATCTCGACTTTAGTAACTTACATATCGCCATGACATGCCTGTGTCTTTGCTAAAAATATTTCTATGTCAATTGTTCTAATGAGCTTTCCTCTTTGTAAATGTGACTGTTGTAAAAAAAACCCAAAAATCTTGTATTCGATATTAAATAATTGAACGATTTTTACCTACAGTTAAATTAACAAGAGTAAACGTGCAATAATACACTGTGTTCATTTAGGTCTATTTATCCCAGTATGTTCATTATCTATCTATCTATCTATCTATCTATCTATCTATCTATCTATCTATCTATCTATCTATCTATCGAGCCTAATCTGGTTGTTTGTTTCTATCTATCTATCTATCTATCTATCTATCTATCTATCTATCAAGCCTAATCTGGTTTTTTCTATCTATCTATCTATCTATCTATCTATCTATCTATCTATCTATCTAGCCTAATCTGGTTGTTTGTTTCTATCTATCTATCTATCTATCTATCTATCTATCGATAACTGTTTGTTGATAATCTATCTACACATCTTAGTCTGTTCATTATCTCTCTGTGTCCATTAATTATCTATCTCTGTTCGTTATATATATATATATCAGTTCGTTATCAATCCATTTCTGACTGTTCATTTTCTATCTCTGTTCATTATCTATATATAAAGGTCCATTCATTATCTATCTATCTATCTATCTATCTATCTATCTATCTATCTATCAAGCCTAATCTGTTTTTTTCTATCTATCTATCTATCTATCTATCTATCTATCTATCTATCTATCTATCTATCTCTGCCTGTTCATTATTTATCTATCTATCTATCCTTGTTTTCCCATTATCTATCTACACATCTTAGTCTGTCCATTATCTCTCTGTGTCCATTATCTATCTCTGTTCATTATATATATATATATATATATATATATATATATATATATATATATATCAGTTCGTTATCTATCCATTTCTATTTGTTCATTTCTATCTCTGTTCAATTTCTATATATAAAGGTCCATTCATTATCTATCTATCTATCTATCTATCTATCTATCTATCTATCTATCTATCTCTGCCTGTTCATTTTTTTATCTATCCTTGTTTGCCCATTATCTATCTACATCTTTAGTCTGTTCATTATCTATCTGTGTGAGTTAATTATCTATCTCTATTTCATTATGTATATATATATATATATATATATATATATATATATATATATATATATATAATTAAAAAAAACAGACCACTTTAAGGTACCATTACAATAATTTTTATATATATATATGTCTGTTTATTATATATCCATTTCTCTCTGTTCACTATCTATCTATATATCACTGTCCTTCAATATATAGCTAGTGAGGTATGTTACGGCGTAGTTTATATGGATAGGAGGGTAAGATAACGGTTAACTCTAAACTTGGACAGGGTTAAGTGTGTAGCGACCGGGGAAACATCTGCTTGGAAGTCGATTCCACAAGGCACTGGTTTGCGTGATGTGGCTGTTCGAGTGGAATTTTCTTATCACCGATGGTATACGGAGCGAATGTGGATGGTTCGATACAATGTGTCATGGCGTGTCCTATCCGTAATGATTAAACCCTGTGGAACCAAGCATTATAGCTCGTCCGAGTACTCCTCATGGAAGTTGCCATAGAATAGTGCGAGACTCGCCACATCATTATTTTTCATCATTATTTTTCATTAATCTATTCATTATCTTTCAGAGTTTTAGATTATCTTTCGCTGATATTTTATACTGCAGCTCTCTCTCTCTCTCAAATATTTTCATTATCTCGGTATGTATAGGCTTCCCTTTTCATTATCTGTCTTGCTATACGTATTTCTATATATCACCATCTTTTCATTAACTATCTATTGCATTCTGTTTCATATCTATCCTCTTTCTTGCTTACACTCTCTTTCTTTCTTACGTTATTTGTATTTTTTCTTTCTTCCTTATGGTCTCTTTCTTTCTTTCTTTTATATCATTAATTCTTCCTGACTGCGCGTTCTTTTTTCTTTCTTTCTTTCTTTCTTTCTTACGTTATTTGACTTTTTTCTTTTTTTTTCTTTTCTATGTTTCTTTCTATGTCCTCTTCTTTCCTTCTTTTTCTTTCTTTCATACGTTTCCTTTCTTTGTTTTTTTTTCTTTCTTTCTTTAATTTCTCTTTCTTTCTTATGTTCTCTTTCTATATTTCTCACATTATCTGTATTTCTTTCGTACATTGTTTCTTTCTTTCTATCTTTTTTCTTATATTAGCTTTCTTTCCTTCTTTCTTTCTTTCTTTCTTTTTTTCTTTCTTTCTTATGTTCGCTTTCTTTCTTACATCTTCTTTCTTTCTTTACGTTCTCTTTCTTTCTTTCTTTCTTTCTTATGTTCTCTTTAATTCTTACGTTATTTGATTTTTTCTTCGTTTCTTTCTTATGTTCTCTTTATTTCTTATGTTCTTTTTCTTTCTTACATTCTTTTTCTTTCTTTCTTCTTTATGCTCTCTTTCTTTCTTTCTTTCTTTCTTTCTTTCTTTTCTTTCTTTCTTCCTTCCTTTCTTACTTTCTTGCGGTATCTGTCGTTCTTACGTTCTCCTTCTTCCTTGAATTCTTTCTTGCCTTCTCTTTCTTTCTTTCTTTCTTTCTTTCTTTCTTTCTTTCTTTCTTTCTTTCTTTCTTACATACTCTTTCTTTCTTTCTTTCTTTACGTTCTCTTTCTTACGTTCTTTCTCTTTTCTCTTTCTTATGTTCTCTTTCTTTTTATGGCCCCTTTTTTTTTTGTCGACGTCAGTAAATTACATTCAGTTAGTGACGTCGTTTTTAAAATGCAGAATCACAAAATTAAAGTGAGAAGAGTTATTGCAGAGTGTATCTAAAAGCCAGAGAAAATGGCGACAAAAACAATGACACTGTATATGATGACGTCATCACTGACGTTGGCGGCCATTTTCAAAATGTCTTCGTACTTATTCCTCATAATTAAAGATTAAAGAACAATGCAAATTAATTCTAAAGGGAATGAAAATGGCACGGAAATGTCAAGATAACTAAATTGATTCATGTCGCCCCACCTTTTTTTTACTAATTCGACGCTTTAAGTTAATTTTCTTAAAGGTTATCAAGTGTCACATTAAAAAAAAATATCGGTTGTTCATATTTACAGATAATATTCATTCTGTAGATAGATAGATAGATAGATAGATAAGAAAAGCATGCAATAGATAGATAAATATGAACAGAGATAGATAGATAACAGCATGCGACATATAGATAGATAGATAGATGAATAGATAGATAGATAGATAGATGAGAACAGAATGCGATAGATAGATAAATATGAACAGACTGAAATAGATAGATAATGAATAGATAGATAATGAATGAATAGATAGATGAATGAATGAATGAATAAGAACAGCATGCGATAGATAGATAGATAGATAGATAGATAGATAGATATAAACAAATGGAGATAGATAATTAAAGAGATGAGAAAAGAATGCGATAGATAGATAAAATGAACAGACTGAGATAGATAGATTAGATAGATAGATAAGGAAATAGAAGAAATAGATAGATAGATAGATAGATAGATAGATAGATAGATAGATAGATAGATGAGAAAAGAATGCGATAGGTAGATAAATATGAACAGACTGAGATAGATAGATAGATAGATAGATAGATAGATAGATAGATAGATAGATAGATAGATAGAAACAGATTGAGATAGATAAATAGAGAGATGAGAAAAGAATGCGATAGGTAGATAAATATGAACAGACTGGGATAGATAGATAGATAGATAGATAGATAAGGAAATGGAAGAGATAGATAGATAGATGAGAAAAGAATGCGATAGGTAGATAAATATGAACAGACTGAGATAGATAGATAGATAGATAGATAGATAGATAGATAGATAGATAGATGTGAACATATTTAGAGACAGATATATAGATGTCAATTGTCCCCCATAAAGACGAAATGAGCACATAGATGCCTTTCATCTATCGCAAATGAGTGAGATTTTTACACAATTGATTGTCTCTCTCTCTCTCTTTCTCTATCTCTCTCTTTCTCTATCTCTCTCTCTCACTCGACACACAGACATACATATCATGTGTGTGTTCGTGTTTTATTCTTTTACTGGTTACGTGATTCCGCTTTTTAAAACAAAACAAAAAAAAATGGCAGCTTTTGAAATTGAATCGCTGACGTCGAGCTATGCCTTCTTTTAATTCCGTTGAGAGGAACGTATGCCTCATCATAGCATTCATCACAGCACTCTGTATCCCTAGACTCATTTGTTTACGTTTATAAATCGAGTCGTCATTATTTATTTGCGTTCCGAAGTGTATAAAAATGCAATACGTCTTATTGCGTATCTACGTGCGAAGAGCATTTTATTTATATGATGGCATCCGGAAATTAATTACATTTTACTAGAATGGTAATAGATATATTAGACGTTTCCTTATAAGGAAACATTCGGTATTAATTGATTCCGTAGCTAGTTCTACACTCGTTATCATTTTCTTCCCACTTTCATTAGAGGCGAGGACTGGGTAATTTTGGATCTTGGCCCAGGGGCATGCACCTCAGCTCCTCACTTCAAACCGGCCTTGTGCCATACACTCTCACCGTTGCGGTATGAGTAAATACTAAGTATAATATCTGTTTCTCCTCATCTCATTGACTGACCAGCGAGTGTTACACGATTTATGCTTTTCTTCACTCTTTGGCCCTCGGTCTAGGATCAAAGTGTAGTATCTGTTCTAATCGCTAATCATATTATTAGGTGTTTCCTTATAAGGAAACATTCGACTATTATTGACCGAACAAACAGTCTCGCACGATTTATGCTTTACTTCAGTTTCTACTCCTCCGTCTAGGATCAAAGTGTAGTATCTGTTCTCATCTCTAATGATAATATTAGCTGTTTCTTTATAAGGAAACATTCGACAATTATTGACCGAACAAACAGTCTCACACGATTTAAGTTTTTCATTACTTCTGACTCCACGATCTAGGATCAAAGTGTAGCATCTGTTCTCATCTCTAATGATAATGCTGATATAAGCCGTTTCCTTATAAGGAAACATTCGTCGTTTATTGACCGAGTAGCCAATGTTACTCCAGTTACGCTTTTGTTCACTCGCTGGACAACGGCTTAGTTTCAAAATGTAGTTTCATTTCTCCTCATTTTAAATGTAATGGAAATATTAGCTTTTTCTTTGTAAGGAAACATTCGCCAGACTGCTATATTTGGTTTAAATTTATAAAATCTTCAACTTCGATAAGGTCAAATTTCCAACTGATCTCAAAAATTATCTACAATCTGTTGTTAACTGGAGCAAGGAATGACTTGTAATGCCTCCAAAACGAAACTTCTATTTATTGAGAGACTATTGGACATTAAACGCACACCTGGTCTCAAGTGGAACTCGTATATATGATTCATCGCCAAAGAACCAGGTAAAATGGTCGGCACCCTGACTCTTTTACCTTTACAAAAGTTAGGTCAGACCGAAAATGGAGTACTGTTGTCATATTTGGACGGTAGCTAGCCAATCCTCACTTTCCGGTCTCGAGAGAGTCCAAAATTAGTGTATGACGAATTATTTACCACCATCGAACCTCTCTCTCACAATCGGGATGTGGCAAGACTTTCGCTGTTCTATAGAAACTTCCATGGAAAGTGCTCGAACAAACTCCATAGTTCAATCAGGTCTAACATTCACGGCTAGGACCCGCCATGCCACATACATAATAACAAACCACCCACATTCCCTTCGTGTTTCATTGGTAAGAAGTAAGTTTCACTCGAACAGCTCCTTCCCACCAACCACTGTCTAATGGAAGAGACCCCCAAGAGGATGTTTCCCCGATCATTACAATCTAAACCTATTCAAGTCTAGAGTTAACCATTATCTTCCAATCTTATCCATATAAACTAGACCTTAAAGTAACCCTCTACATGTTTCTTTGTAGTTATCTTGATTTTATAATATTTTATGTCAATAATGGTAATGGTTATAGTAGCCGTTTCCTTATAAATAATCATTCGATATTCTTGAGTGAGCAGCCAATGCTAATATCGATTGAAATTATTAAACTCTTCCATCTAGCCTTCACGGCTAGGAACCGCCATGCCACATACACAATAACAAACCAACCCCATTCCCTTCGTGTTTCATTGGTAAGAAATAGGTTTCACTCGAACAGCTTCTTCCCACCAACCACTGATATGTGGAAGAGACCCACAAGAGGATGTTTCCCTGATCATTACAATCTTAACCTATTCAAGTCTAGAGTTATCTCCCCCTCTTATCCATATAAACTACACCTTAAAGTAACCTTGTACAGGGTGAACATAACTGTAAGGAGAATGCAGAAAAAAGACACACCTATTGACACACCCATTGACATTCACTGACACGTGAAAAATGTTTACGGAGATAAATTCGTCATTTTAAACGTGAGAGAACTTTTTCTTTTAACCCGTTTTTGGCTGATGTGAACCTTCAAGAGAGTGACATGTTACGCCTTCTCGGACTAACATTTTTTTTATAGCATGAAGTGGAAAGATTATATTGAATCAATTGCTAGGTCTACTGTGAGGAAAGTTAGTTCAATGTGTTGTGTTATACAATTTTTATTGCCAGAATCTATCTTACATATTTATAAGTCTACCATGCATCCATGCTTTGAATATTACAGCCACATCTAGTCTGGTGCTCTTGCTATATATTTAGAGATTCTTGATAAAATCCAAAGAGAAATCTGTAATTTTATTGGTCCTGATATCTCGACTTCAGTCACCTTCCTCATTGTCATAACATAGCTTCCCTGTACCTTTTCTATAAAAACTTTCAGCGCAATTGTTCTGATGAACTTTCTTTCCTCAATGATACCTAGATTTTATGAATTTAAGCACAGTACTTGATTGGCGGATAGGTCTCATCATTTTATGATATCATCAGTTCTCAACCCAGTATTTATGGTTCATAGTACTTATCCACAATTTTTTAAGTAGGGGAAAGAATGGCTTCTAAATTTTAATACTTCCAAAATTGCTCTATTGTTTAAGAGAACATATAACTTTCCATCAGTATGGCTGATGCTAACCTCCAGAAGAGCAAATCATTGCGGCTTCTCAAACCAACTTTTTCCACCGACATAACAGAAATAGATATTTGAAGGAAAAATATTAACAGAAATAGATATTTGGAAAAAAATTACCAATAATGAAAATTTTGTCAGCATTAAATAACCCATTGAGGTGTTGATATGCTGTAAAACAAACCAAACCATTTAGTAACTCTACTCTCCAAGTTTTTGTTCACTTCTGCTGTGGTCAGGTATTGAACTCTCAACTCTTTGGGTCAAGTCACTTGTTTCGCCTTTTCAGGCTAACATTCTCTGCTGACATGAAGTGGAAAGATTATATTGAATCAATTGCTAGGCCTGCAGCTGAGAAACATGATTCACGTTGTCTTTGTCGTATTTCTTTCTTGCGTTTCTCGATACTTTTCTTGGCTTTAGCAAGGTATCTCTGTCGCTAGTCCAGTAACTATTGGACCCCGAACAACCTCCAGTCAGGAAGAACGGATATCCCATTGGGGAGGCACCGTGACTTGAAAGATTATTGGACATTAAATGCACACCTGACCTCAAGAGTAACTCGTACGATCCATTGCTAAAGATCCATGTAAAATGGTCGGCACCCTGTACTCTTCCAGTAAGTGACTCTTCTACCGTTACAAGAGCTAGATCAGGCCGAAAATGGGGTACTGTTGTCATATTTGGGCGGCATCTAGCCAGTCTTCAGTTTCCCGTCTCAGCAAACTCCAAAATTAATGGATGACGGATTATTTTCTACCATCCAGCCTCTCTTTCTCTCTCTCTTTCTCTCTCTCTCTCTTTCTCTCTCTCTCTCTCTCTCTCACACACACACACACACACACAAGTGGAGATGTGGTGAGTGCTTTATCGCTACTACTATGGAAAGTGCTCGGACGAACTACATTCCCTGATCTGCCATGTCTAACCTTTACGGCTAAGACACGCCTGTTGGAATTTTTGGGTAGCCCTATACTAGTGAGCTAGCCCAAATGAGCTGACTCATTTTATAGTTCACCAATAGAAGGGTTAACCAATCAGAAGGCTCAAAATATTCAATGAGACGTGTATAAAGGCGGCCATTTTTTTTCCCGAATATGCACTGCCAGCCTTTGATATCGAAGACTGAAGAATTAAGGAACAGCTGCTGGTGGTATTGGCGATATAATCAGATTCAGTAGAGTCTCTGACTCGTGATTGTTAATCTTTAACGTTGTTTCTTTGAACAGATTACGTACTGCACTGTTTTCTATATTCATAGACTTGGCGAACATGGTCGACAACGCCAGCCACTTATATTGTAGCAAACCAGACACATTGCCTCTGTATTCCATCGGCGAGAAGTAAGTTCCACTCGAACAGCTTCTTTCCGCGAACCACTGCCCTGTGCAACAGACTCCCAAGAGGAGTCACTCTTGTCCTATCACTACAATCTTAACCCTGTTCAAGTCTAGAGTTAACCGTTATCTTTCGTCTCCTATCCCTACAAACTGCATCTAAACGTAACCCTCTTCCTCGAGGGACTCCCGGGGCTTATACAGGATAATCCGTACTGTAAATATAAAATAAAGTAAATAAATGTCCTGAGCTCGGTTACGACGGCTCGTTTCTTACGCTTTATTGCGCGAAAGCTTCAGGCAACCGATAGCAGTCTTTTGGTGATACGAGCAAGCTATAATAAGTTCCTATAACATGGCTGATTTAAAATAAGTGCCCGTATAAGCAAAATCTCACCACCGACTGCTAGTGGGCGAGTCACAACAGCGCTTATGAAACAAGCAGTAGTGTCCGTTGTATTAAAGCAGGTCTATATTGTATAATAAAATATATGAATGACGCAAAAGGAAAACTATTCTTTAACACGTTTCGTCATCTGATGGACTTT